ATACTCCTATTTATGCAGAATGACATAAGAATAAGGTTATTTATTGAAGCACTCTTTATAATAGTGAAAGATTGGAAACAATCTGTTCATAGGATGGGAACTGGTGAAAAAAGGCTGTAGCATCCCAGAGAAGACTATGTAGTTATAAAGAAAAGAATGAGAAAACTCTCTACAAACTAACATGGAGAAATTCCAAGATGGTATTATGTTAAAAGAGAGGCAAGATATAAAACAGTGGATATACTGTGCTATCATTTGTATTCAGTATGTGTGTATATTTGCTAGTACATGCATAAAATATCAAGAAGTATGCACCAAATTTGTAAAACACTGATTGCCCCTGGAAGGGCAACCAGGTAGTTGGGTGACAGGAGTGAGAGGGCCAATTTTCACAGAATATTTAATGCCCTATTGTACCTTTTAATTTTTAAGCCATATGATTGTATCAGCTACTTAAAAAAAAAAGTAAATATCCTGTCTGAGTTCTGTATGCATTTGCATTTTCAGTGCAATGAGCTATAAGGGGCTGTACCTTACCAAATTTAAGAGTTTTTATTTTAGGGTTAAAAGGATTTTTAATAAAAATTATCAAAGGCAGCCTGAGTGTTGAAACTGTTACTCTCAAGTTTTTATCATTTCCTCTATAAAGTTGCGCAGACTTAGTTTCTGGCCTTAAATCATACCTATTTTCAGCTTCCCTGAAATCAAGAGTGTCCTGTGCCTTATCAATTAAAGTAAATGTACTTTCAATTAAAGGTGTTAAGTATGAGTCTGAAAAGATTAATTCTTTATAAAAGGATGACCTTCAGTAGTTCGCTCCAATTAGGCATTTTTCCAACTATATTTCATCTTGATGGGACAAGTCTACTACTCATAATCAATCACTGTGATCTTTTCAAAGGCGAGTATTTTAGGTTCAGAGTCATAAAAGAATGACTTGACTATGCAGCCTCCATAACTTGAACCACAGTTGATATAGACAGAGATTATGAGTGTTGGATATTACTTTTTGTGTTATTAATATTTGAAGCATCAGGATATGCATAATGATATTCTGGGTACAGTTCTTACACCTCTCATGACCTTACTAGAATAAATTTCTTTAAATAAGACCGATGGAAAAGAAGAGAGGAAATGAACAATGACACAAATTAATGTCCAATCAAATTCCTCATTTTTTTCCTGTCATTTTATTATTAAATACATTATAAATACTTGCTTTCCTCATGGTTGTTTTCTTATTGGACTACTTTAGTTTGAAGTGAATCATTGCTCATATACAGCACACAAAACCAAGACTACTGAGGAAATGAATGCTTGGTAATTGTTTTATGGGAACATGCAAAATCTTGGAGAATAATATTGCTTTATCTTAAAGGAATTGAGCATTTCTGTTTGTATTTGGTACCCTCAGTATGGAATTATTGGCCTTCACTCTGCCATTCATTAAATTTGTAAACTTGGAGAAGCTACTGAACACAATCATGGAAAAAATGGAAAACAAATAATACCTCCTTGCATATCTCAAAGGTTAATTATTGAAATTAAATGAGATTATGTGTGATATATATTATATATCATATCTCATTTAATTATAGTGTACATACATATGTATGTGTATACATTTATATATTAGTGTTACTTAAAATGTAGTCCAGTGACCCTGGGAGTCCTTGAGACCCGAAACTTTCAGGGAGCCCATGAGGTCAAAACGATTTTTATAATAATAGCAAGAAATTACTTGCCTTTTTCACTCTTTCACACATGTTCCGTGGAATTTTTCAATTCCTGTCTCTATAACATTCGACATTGCAGCAGATTGCAGAAACAATTGTAAGATTCGAGCTATCCTAAGCCCGATATTATAGAGGTTTACAAAAATGTGAAACAGTGGGCTCTTTTTCACTGACTTGTTTTCATTTTGAAAAGGAAAGTAATTTTTCATGTAAAATTTACATTAACATATAATGGGTTATTGTCATTTTCAAATAAATTAATATTTTTTAATTATCAATTTTAATTTCTAATACAGTAAACTTTGATAGATATAGTCCATATAAACAAAATCTCTTTAGGGGTCCTCAGTACTTTTTAAGAACATAAGAGTGTTCTAAGACCAAAAAGTTTGAGAACTGCTGATATATATGAAAGCACTAAGTAAATGTGCAGTGGTGATATTGGTGGTTTATTAAGAAACTTTGCCAGGCGCAGTGGCTTACGCCTGTAATCCCAGCACTTTGGGAGGCCAAGGCAGGCGGATCACTTGAGGTCAGGAGTTCAAGACCAGCCTGACCAACATGGTGAAACCCCATCTCTACTGAAAATACAAAAAATTAGCTGGGCTTGGTGGCACACTCCTGTAGTCCCAGCTGCTTGGGAGGCTGAGGCAGGAAAATTGCTAGCTAGAACCTGGGAGGCAGAGGTTGCAGTGAGCAAAGATCTTGCCACTGCATTCCAGCCTGGGTGACAGGCGACAGAGCAAAACTCCATCTCAAAAAAATAAATAAATGAAAAGAAAGTTTAAGCTGTTTAAACAATGCAGCACGCAAACCGTCCTCCCACTGTAGGCACTGTTGTGAGTGGTACACTCCACCTCCAAGGCAGGGTTCTTTAGTCTGGGGTCTAAGATGATTTCTGAATCCTCTAGTTATCTAAAATTTTGCGCATTAAATTATGTGTGGTAGTCCCTCCGTATCTTTGCAAGGGTATGTTTCAAAACCGCTGTGGATAACTGAAGCCAAAGATAGTACTGAACCATCTATGCAGTATGTTTTTCCCTATACATACTTACTTATGATAAAGCTTAATTAGGCACAGTAAGAGATTAACAGCAAGAAATAATAATAAAAATAGAACAATTACAACAATATAGTGTCATAAAGGATATGTGAATGTGGTCTCTCTCTCAAAATATTTTACTGTGCTGACATGGGTAACCGAAACCATGGAACATGAAACCAAAGATAAAGGGGGACTGCTATATCTACTTTCTTTTAGGGTGAGGATCCACAATTTTCACAGTTTTCAGATTTCCACAGGTCCTAAAAGAAGCACAGTTATAGAAACTGCTGCAGTCCCTGGTCCCATTTTAGCCCTGAGGGGAGTAGTGATAAAGTCAAGGTTGGGGAAACCTGAGGGGAGATGCAAAGTTCAAGGTCCAAGGCTCTCATATCTGGGTGTGGGCTTGGACGTGTCTTGAGTTCTTGGCCCTTTACTTCTCCCTGTTTTGTTTATGGAAAGGTGGGAGACTTGGGCTGACTTTCTAGACACCGAGGAAAAGGGCATTCTTTCAGCAAGTGCCACGCCCTGTGCATCACTGTGGGCTCCCTCACTCTTAGTGTGGTTGGATGTGGTAGGACATAAAGAACCAAAATCAGGCTGTGGACCAAAAAGGGCCCAGAGACAAGCTTCACTGTGGTTTGGGCATGGTTCACAGAGACCGGGAGGTTTTACACAGAGCTTGAGAGTGCAGATGCTCTGTTTCCCGATGTTCCAGGATGGGTATTCAGGCCGTCTCTGACTCTGTCTTAGACACTTTCAGAGGCGGAGCTAATACTAGTTCATGTTTCCTACTGCAACTTTCTCTCTCTCTCTCTCTCTCGCTCGCTCTCTCCTTTCTTAATGAGACAAACTCTTGCTCTGTCGCGCATAGTGCAGTGGTGTGATCTCGGCTAACTGCAACTTCCACCTCCCGGGTTTCAGTTCTCCTGCCGCAGCTTCCTGAGTAGCTGGGATTATAGGGATGTGCCACCACTCCCAGAAATGGGGTTTCACCATGTAGGCCAGGCTGGTCTCGAACTCCTAACCTCAAGTGATCCATCTGCCTCAGCCTCTCAAAGTGCTGGGATTACAGGCGTGAGCCACCGTGCCCGGCTTCTACTGCAATTTCTTAAGATGTTTTTGTTAACCTTACTTACAGCATCTGTTGATACTTATAATATTTTAGTGTTCTTACAAGAATTTGAAACTATTCTAATTATAGCTCACTGCCCCTTATTATCATTTCTTAAAATTAATTTGAATGGAAAACTTGTGTCTCAGATATTTATGTATTTCATATCTCCCTGTGCCATTTAATTTTTAAATTGCATGTACATATATATTTTTCAGTTTTATGTAAGCCTTTACAGTTACTTAAAGTTTTATATATTCCTGGGGCAAAATGTTGCAAAATTGCCCACTGAGTATATAAAACTTTTAAATTTAGATAAAATTTTAAACTACTAAGTGTGTACCTTTTTCTTGGTGGTGTGCTACATGATTTAATGTGTAGTGCTTCTTGAATTCTGTCACTGAGACCATCTTCCCTGTTTGTTTCACTTTTAAAAATGATTTAATAAAATACTATTTTTCAAGAAAAAATATGAAAAATACAGTGGATACCATTTATTTTAGACTAAAGGCTTCTGACATTTTTAATGAAATTATATTGGCCGGGTGTGTTGGCTCATACCTGTGATCCCAGCACTTTGGGAGACCGAGGCTGGGGGGATCGCCTGAGGTCAGGAGTTTGAGACCAGCCTGACCAACATGGAAAAATCCCATCTCTACTAAAAATACAAAAAATTAGCCGGGCGTGGTGGCACATGCCTGTAATTCCAGCTACTCAGGAGGCTGAACCTGGGAGACAGAGGTTGCAATGAGATTGCACCATTGCACTCCAGCCTGGGCAACAAGAGTGGAACTCTGTCTCAAAAAAAAAAAAAAAAAAAAGAAATTATATTCAAGGTTTCCTGTTTAGTGCAGATTTTATAAAATGAACATTTTGTTTTTAGAATTTTGTGATACAAGCATGTTTGTATAAGGTAAATTCAATCAAACAAATCTCTTCATTATTATTGTCATAACTATCTTTCCCAGTTAACAAAATACTTGAAGGTAACCTCAAACTGTAAAATGTTTCCACATGTTAGTAGCATCTTGTGAAAATCTGAATACATGTAAGTTCGACTAAACTCTGCTTCGCTGGACTTTAATGTGTTATGTGTTATGTATTTCAGAAACTCCAGAAAGGAACTTAATGACATACGATTTGAGTTTACTCCAGGAAGAGGTAAGTTTTAATTGAAGTTATTATTTTATTGTCTCAAAGAACATTACAGAAATTGATTACAAGCATGTGGTTATAATTTGCTATTTAAAACTGCTTTGTTTAATAATGAAGGAAGGAAGGAGAGATAGATGGAAGGAAGGACTTTTGATACTTCTAAGGATTCCAAACCAAATCATGACTGACCGCGTGAATCTCAGTGACACATGCGGCACAGTATACATACAAATATAAGTTAGATATATTAGCTCAACCGTGAAAATAAGTATTGCTATGGTAATGCAGGCCCTAAAGCAAATGATGATGAATGTAATGAGAAGCATACCACAATCCTAATGAGGGATGAGCAGCAAACAGTGGGATCATACAAAAAGGTAACATACTTTGCTTCTGTGATCTGAGTTCAGATTATGTGAAGCCTCCATTGGGGAGTATTTACTAAAATTTTGAAAACTCCAAAGTACAAGAACTTTCTAGCTTGTTAGGTGGCCCATCAGTAAACTCTTTGACACCCTGTGGTTATTACCTGCAGGAAGACACAAACTCAGATGTCCACAGAAACCAAAGTGAGTAGTGTGCACTTCAGGAAACTGGAGGATCTCCTATCTAATTTCACTCATGTTCAGTAGTTTCTTTTTGTTTGTTTTTCGTTTTAAAACAAAGTTTTACAAAGGCCACTAGCTAAACAAAATATTCCTGGGCAATGCTTGGCCATAGACTTACTGGTCCCTGATTACTAGTCTTCTATAAATGCAAAGATTTCAGGATTCCTGGTATATTTGAATTAAACTAAAATATGAAATATCTTTTTAAAATAAATGTACAGGCCAGGCACAGTGGCTCACACCTGTAATCTCAGCACTTTGGGAGGCTGAGGCGGGGCATCAGTTGAGGCTAGGAGTGTGAGACCAGCCTGGCCAACATGGTGAAACCCCCTATCTACTAAAAATACAAAAACCAGCTGGGTGTGATGGTGCACAGCTCTAGTCTCAGCTGCTTGGGAGGCTGAGGCAAGAGACTCACTTGGACCTGGGAGGCAGAGGGTGCAGTGAGCCAAGATTGTGCCACTGCATTCCAGCCCGAGTGACAGAGCGAGACTCTGTCTCAATGAATAAATGGACATAAGGCCCTAGTGGATTTGCTAATTGATCTTTCTTTCCGGAGATATCCATCTTTGACAATTTAGAGTTGGTTTATGAAATTGTACAGCACCAGGTAGTATTGTCAAAAAGCTGTCTATTTTGTCATAATATAAAAATATTGACCAGGCCATGCTGTGATAAAATCTAGTAATTATATAATAAATGTTTCAAGTACAGCAAGTAGAAAGAACAGATTCTTATTTTAAGGTTGTTTCTTTACACCTGATTGTTTAAAATTGACTATGGCAATGAAAATCAATTTTAATTTTAAGAGGTAACAAAGAAGTGAATATGAGCTCAGGACTTTTGCGGGTAACATGGCCCTATCAGCAATATTGGGCCATTGGCACTGGCTTTGGCAGCTGCCTTTGCCACATTTAGATTAACAGTCCCTGCTTCTGTTGCACAGACAGAACCCATAGCATTGTCTGCCTAATGCCAGCCAGCCTTCACTGGGCGGCAGAGCACAGGCCCGTTATTGAAGGAAGCGCTATGCATATATCACTGCACTTCTGTGACTATTGATGCTGTCTGTATTTCAGACTTGGCTTGCAGTAAATCTGTGTGCAGTCCACATGCATTATGCTTGTGCTGTATATACACGTGAATAAGCGTATATGGCACAAAATGTGTAATGTAAACACATAAAATATGCTCTTTCCTCACTTGAGGACAAGCCCTTTGTGTTTAGTGTGTCCCATGTGCTCTGGAAACCAGAAATTAATACATAAATATTTATCCTGTTTAGGCACCAGGGATGTTAAACAGCTTAAAGAAAAATACATTGCTAATGAAACATGAAATAAGTTATTTCACATTTCTGTTCTGAACTATTACTGATATCTTACTTCCATGCATACAAAATGCCTAATGGCACACATGCAGATACGGAATATTTCCCATTTGGATCAGCCAGCGGTACCTGTTTGCCATTTTGGCATGACTCATCTGGTGCCCAGGAGTCCTGAAAACAGTAGGACATGCTGTATGCTTTCATCATTTGGGAATGTCAGTCATTTTGGTACTGTTTTAGTGCTATCCCTCAATGCAGCTTTGATTATTTCATTTTTGGCTACCTTCTGTGATTATAGCTCTTTACTTAAGTGTAAGATCTTACTGATACTTTAGAAATGATGGGTAACACATCCAAATGCTTCAGCAGATGACCATTCAGTAGAAATATAATGAATGACTGCCTGCTATCTGCCCAATGCCTACTAGGTGTTAGGTTCTTTAATTCAGTTCACTTATTTCTGTAAAGATTTGGGTAACATCCAGGAAGATGCCAGTTATGAGGCTGAATGTTCTAGCAGCTTCAGAAAGCTACATCATGTTCAGAGTAGCGCCTCTCATTATGCTACCCTAACTTCCATGATTATGGGATCATTTTATCATGAAGAGACTTTATAAGGTGTTTATTTTTTTTCTTTTCCTTTTTAAAAATAGACAGGGTTTCACTCTGTCACCCTGGCTGGCGCTCACTGCAGCCTTGACCTCCCAGGCTCAAGTGATCCTTCCACTCAGCCTCCCAAGTAGCTGGGACCACAGGTACATGCCACCATGCCCAGCTAATTTTTTTATGCTTTGTAGAGACGGGGTCTCCCTATGTTACCCAGACTGGTCTATAACTCCTGGGCTCAAGCAATCATCTCGCCTTGGCCTCCTAAAGTGCTGGAATTACAGATATGAGCCGTTGCACTGGGCCAAAGTGTTTTTTTGTACTGCTAGCAAAAAGGACAAAGCCTAAGACAAGCTCATCTTATATGGAACTTTATAGTTTAGTAAGATTCCTATATATTTCTTTGCCATTTACTTCATTTTATTCCATTTCATTATGACTTCATTATGAAATGGAATCAGTAAAATGGCAGAATACCACAGTTTCTCTGGAGGTATAAAGTGTAAGGTGTGTTTCAAATGATCTTTGGCTGCTGCATCATCATCATAGTTACTGTTTATTGAGTATTTACTATGTGTCAGACACTGGGCAAGCTCTTTAAACCCCAAGAATTGTGAAACACAAATGTACCTCCAGCTGCACACTCACATGTGTATGCACACATGCGAACACAGATACACACACACACACACACACACACACACACACACCGGCCCAGTTACATAGTCACCACATCTGAAGCACAGATGAAGTAATGAAACGCAGTTTATGTTTAGGGCAGCTTTTGGTGTCACAAACTGCAATTCTGTTTAGATGCTCATCTGATTTAGCAGCTGTACTTTCAGGTGCCCCCTGACTTTGGAAGACATTTCTGTCAAACCCCCATCAAGAGTGTTACAGCCTGCTGAGCCAGTTTCTTCTTATCAAGCTACAGTTCTAAATATTTGTGAGAATATCCGAAGTCCCTGGGGACCAAGTCAGCTCCCTTGAACCAAGTGAGCTCCGTTGTGCAAATGTGGGGGTTTCTAACAGTTCTCCTGAGCGCACTGCAATTTATCAGTTTCTCTTTACAAAGCCTTCAAATAGAAGGTTACAGTGTTGTCATGTTCATTGGTAACCTTTCAATTAAGTAATTCCAGCTGTATTCACTTGCCACGGCCTCTGTAGTCCCATCCTTAGGAGACTGCGAACTCCTGTCACTTATCATTGAGAAAGTACGGTATTTTATTCAGCCACATTTTTCTAAGACAGTGTATCCATTGCTATCAAATGATCAATGTCATGTTAAAGGAGTTTCTTAATAGCATACATTTAAATAGCTCGTCTTAATAGTCCAGCAAGCTCATAGGCTGTTTGTACAACATGCAAGGTTATATCAGATGCTACCCATTCAACCTTTGCTGTAAATTCACTGCATAGCTACTAATGGTAGAAAAGGATTGATGATGGTGGGTGGGATTAACCTTGGCAGGAAAGAGAAGCAGTGTGATAGGGAACAGTTATAACTTCCGGAGGCACATTTGAAGATTAATTCAGATAGTAGCCAGAGGGCACAAGTGTTTTATTTCACCAAAAATGGAAAAAATAATTTTGTGTAACTTCTGTTGAATAAATAGCAAGATGCAAACGGCACGTGGCAAAATGTATTTCATGTTGCTTCTGATTTTCTCTTAATAGAGTCTGAATTGTTGAATTAAAACTCATGGATGATTTTCGTAAATGAAATATATATATTTTACATTGTACTGGGTTGTTGATTTTTATGTTATAGTTACTAATACATACTCATTTCACGTTTGGACAGATACAGCAGATGGTGTATCTCAGGAGCTCTTCTCTGCTGGCTTGGTGGATGGTCACGATGTAGTTATAGGTAAATTGTTTTTTAGTATGCACTGTCATTTTGTTGGTATATAAAATGGAAATGTGTTTGGAAGCAAAAGTGTTCATTAAGGAATAATTCACTCTGAATATTTGAAGAATTCTTCTTGAATTCTTATCTTTTATGTAGAAGTATATTTAAGAATCATGTTTGGACAGGTGCCATGGCTCATGCCTATAATCCCAGCACTTTGGGAGGCCAAGGTGGGTGGATCACCTGAGGTCAGGAGTTAGAGACCAGCCTGGCCTATTTGGTGAAACCCCGCCTCTACTGAAAATACAAAATTAGCTGGGCATGGGTGATGCATGCCTGTAGTCTCAGCTACTTGGGAAGCTGGGGCAGGAGAATCTCTTGAACCTGGGAGGCGGAGGTTGCAGTGAGCCGAGATCGCACCATTGCACAACAAAAGTGAAACTCCGTCTCAAAAAAAAAAAAAAAGGATCATATTTAATTTTCTTTTTTTCAAAAGCTCTCAGTGTAATCCTGTCTCATGTATCTGGACATGATTTATCCAATGAGGAGCCTCATTTATTGGAAATATAACAAAGAACTCAGAAGACCCAAAAGTCCATGATGTAACAAAAATAAGATGCTATAAATTCTGTTCACTAAAGCATAGGAACCTTTGAAACCCTTACTCAGAGTTTCTATATTCTTTCTTTGGACACAGTTCTAATAAACTTAGAATTCGTTTTTTCAGCTCTCAGCAATATTCATTGTAAAATCTCAGGTTTGGATGGGAACTTAAAGATCATTCAGGCCAGTTCTTTCACTGTATAGATAAGGAAATGAATTCCTAAAGAGGTTCTGTGGTGTGTCCAGAACCATGCAGCTGGGACGTGGCAGAACGATTTCACTTTGTGGGTCTTTCTGCCTCCTTTAGAATCATAAGATAGCTGTACAGAGATAGGGGAGCCTGCTCAACATAGACTGCTGATAGGAGCAAGCAGCCACCCATAGACCTCCTGACAAAGCAAAGGACACAGAAAAGTTCTAAGAGGCAGACAGCCATCTGAGAAAATGTGTAGCCTGGTTCCACCTAGAGTGAGGGTGAATAGCTGCATGCTCTTCAGCAAATTCTGACTTTATAGAGATTTTATGATGTATAATGATAATAACCCTAACTAATCAAGGTTAGTTAGCATATTAATAATTATGTTAATATATTAATTATATTATTAACTCTAATAACATTATTTAGGGGACCATGTATTATGATAATGCCTTATTAAAAAATATTCAACTCAAAACTGATGTTTGAAATGACATGCTCCCCTTAAGTGATATGGTTTATGTTTGTTTTTGTTTTTGTTTTTTTGAAACAGGGTCTCACTCTGTCACCCAGGCTGGAATGCAGTGGTGTAATCTCGGCCCACTGCAACCTCCGCCTCCAGGTCCAGGCAATTCTTATGCCTCAGCCTCCCGAGTAGCTTGGGACTACAGGCGCGTGCCACCATTCCCGGCTAATTTTTGTATTTTTAGTAGAGACAGAGTTTCGCCATGTTGGCCAGGCTGGTTTTGAACTCCTGACCTCAAGTGATCCACCTGCCTTGGCCTCCCAGAGTGCTGGGATTACAGGTGTGAGCCACTGCTCCCAGCCCCTTAAATGATATGTTTTAATTATAAAAAATAACTTATTCAAAATAAGTCCTTCCCCAATAACACTGGAGTATGTGACTGAGAGGGAGTTTAAGGTAGATACGCACACCTATCAGAATAATTTGTTCCTAGTAACTTTGGAATATAAATCATTATAAAGTGAATTATTTTATGTAAATAAGAGGAATTGAGTTTATAGTGGGAGATTAGAATTCTGACTAAATACATAATATCCAGTATGTTCTTTATATACAATTGATACGTCATAAATGCAGATACAAAGATACCTTTATAATTAGAAAAAAATAGGCTTTTTCCCTATTGATTTTACATCAAGTGTTCACATAGATTTCACAATGAAGCTCTAACTCCTTTGCCAAGTGGCTCCATACATGAGGGGACACAGACATATTTTAAAGGAAAGTGACTTCACATGCATTTATGTGGTGTGAATGTGTATTCCCTTATATATCTTGTCTTTCACATTTTCCTTTACAATCTTGTGAGGTTTAAGGCCAGCTAAGTTCTCACCTAAGTTTTCTAATCAAATGTGAGAGGGAAGTTGAGAAAAAAGATTGATTCAACTTTGGTGTCTACTTTAAATTCCATCTAAGAATTCATTATGTTAACCCACCAATTCCTTGATGAAGATGAACACTCTCCTTCATTAGAAAACATAAGTACACACTTTTGTGTCTTACTTTACCAGAAGAAATAGAACAGTTAATGGCTAGATCAGGAGACCCTGCAAAATATATTTTCCTTGCAGAGAGCTATGGTCCATATGCTAAGCATCCAGAATAGAAAATTAATCAAGTGAAAATGATAATCAGAAACTTCTTCGAAACACCTACTAATGTCTCCTATGGGGCAAGAAGCCAAGGATCAGATTGTTCTTTTATTGGAGTTGATCCTGGCAGGTGGCTAGGAACACAGAAAATAAGAGAGCTTCATGGAAAGGCGTTCGGTCACGTCGTCTGCATGGTCCTTGCTTCAGACCTGCAGTCAAGTTTAATGTACTTCTTTTTTTTGCCCCAGGCTCAGCTAAAGTTAAGAAGGTTTTATTGTTGTTGTTGTTGTTGTTGTTGTTGAATTTTTAAAAGGAGGAAATTAGGAAATTAAGGCAGAGTTCATGTACAACTTATTGAGTGTGTTTTCAATACAATATATAACCAGAAAGCTTCTCTTTTTCTATGCCTTAGTTAATTATTCTTCTAAAAACTCTTCAGCTTGCCTTTTTTCCCCTTCTTGGAGCTGAATTATTTCTATGTAGAAAGTGTTGGAGTAAGAACAGGCATATCTAACTCTTTTCGATATAGTAGCACTTAAAAATGCCTTACATGGACATCACACGTAAGTGTTTACAGACAAGGTTTATGTATTTCATTTGATCATCACATCAATTCTATAAGGTAAAGAGGACAGGTTGTTTTAATCACTACGTTGCAGACTGAAAACTGAGGTCCAAAGAAGTGTCTAGACTGTTGCAACTGGTAATGGTCCTTGAGCTTGGGTCTTGTTGACTCCCCAGTGTTGACACTTTGCATATAATTTATACCTTCACCCTTAAAAAGTGGATCCAGGTAATTTTAAATGATGGTGGTTCTTGTGTCCCCTGGGAGAAAAATAGCTTTCCTTGTTTGTTTTTCCACGGACCAGTGGATGTTTTCTATTTTAATTGCTGATTATTTGACAAACTAATTTATTTGATCTTGTTCCCTCTAACCAATCCTAGCAAATCTGTACTCCCTCGCTCCTCATCTATTTCCCTCTTTACTGGATATGTCCCACCAGCATATGAATATGTTTTTATTTCTCTTATCTTCAGAAAGCCGTGTCTTTACCCCACCTCCCATTACAGCTATTTCTCTCCATCCCCTTACGGCTAAACTTATCAAAGACAATTGCCCTGGCTTTGATTCCTTTCTTATCACTGTCTCCTAAATCCACCTCAGTCAGACGTTCGACCGCCCTGCTCCACTCAAACTGTTCTTTTCAAAGCTGTACCTGGGGAAAACACACCTGCAAAAAAGGAGTGGCAAATGCACAGGTAGGCGTGGCTGGAGTGAGGGGAGAAAGAAGGATGGTAAAGGACACGTGGTCTGTGAATGGCTGCCATGTTCCTAAACCTGAGGCTCATCCTCAGTCCTTATCATGCTTGACCTGTTGGCAGTACTGGGCATAGTTGACAATGCCTTTCTCCATGATAAGCTTTTTCACTTGGTTTTAAGACTCCACCCTCTCGTAGTTCTCCCATCTTACTGGCATTTCCTTCTGTCTTTTTTGTTGGTTCCTCCTCATCTCTCTAACCTATAAATCTTGATGTGTCCAAAGACCCTTTCCTTAGATCTCTTCTCTTTCTCTACTTGCTCCTTTGCTGATCTTATCAGTTTTCATGGTATTAAATACCTTCCACTCTTTAACTCCCAAATGTATATCTTTGATCCAGACTTTTCTTTTGAATTCCAGACTTATATTCAGCTCTCCTTTTAGCATCTTCACTTGGTAAGGTAATAGACATCCAAGATTTAGTCCACAGTTTCAAAATCCAGCCCCTGGTATTTCTTCCCAGCCTGCCCCTCCAGGAATCTTAGACTCTTCATAGGCATCATCTCCAACTTTCCAGGTGCTCAGGCCAAAACCCTGGGCATTGTCCTTGGCTTTTCTTTCTCTCGTACTTCACATCCAACCCATCTGAATGTGCCCAGGATCCTCCCTTTGCTTACCATCTCACCTCCCATCCTGTTTCAAGCCCCTCTCAACTCCCACTTGAGTTCTTGTATTCATCCCTTTGCCGCCATCCCAGCTTCTGTCCTTGCCTCCCTTCAGCCTGTTCTCATCTCAGCAGCCAGAAATCCAGGTAAAGTAATCACATGCAGAAGGCCACATATGGTATGATTCCCATTTATATGAAATGTCCAGAGTAGGCAAATCCATAGAGTCAGAAAGCAGAAGAGTGGTTGCCAGGGGCTGGCAATGAGTGGGGCAGGGGAGTGACTACTAAGTATGGCATTTCTTTTTGGGGTGATGAAAATGTTCTAGAATTAGAAGTAGTAATGGCAATATAACCTTGTGACTTTACTAAAAACCAATGAGTCGTGCATTTTAAGGTGCGAACTTTATAATATGTGACTTTTAGTTCAGTTTTTAAAAAGTAAGCCAGATTGTGTTCAGAGTTCAATCAAAACTCTGCAGTGGCTCTCCACCCACAATCGCCATGGCCTCCAGTCCTCTGCACTGTGTCCCCTCTCACTTCTCGGATGTCTCCTCTCCTGCTCTTCCTCTTGCTCACCCCACCCCAGCCACCCCAGCTGTTGAACTTGCTCTTCTTCCAGGACACTCCTTCTTTAGGGCCATATATGCCCACCCCCCGGTGCTTAAATATTACCTCA